GCATGGGAATGACATAAGCTGGAGAGGCAGTGTGGCCAGTACCAGTTGGACCTGGAGCAGCTGCACGAAGTCACCCGATCCAGGGAGCAGGAGGGGCAGCAGGTTCCCACCAAGCCGCGTAAGTTGAAGGGCCTGCGCCTGAGGGGACCAGCAATGCGAACACCCGCCAGCAGCCCAGTGTCCTTAGCCTCACCAGTGCTAACTCACATACTAGCGGATTTACAGTTACTGGAACTAAATTTAGCAGAAGGTAATTGGTCCACAACAGTCTTTAAAGTTAGCTGTAATGCTAATCCGCTAATGAAAATGCTAACTTTGCTAATCAGTCTTTAGTTGATTAACTGAACCCTGCCCACCACTACTATTACAGTTTTTCCTCAGTTGCTTTGATGCATTTCTCACAAAAGAATTGAAGTTCTCAAAACGTCTCTGATGCTTGTTCAATTCCCACAACCTCTAGTCAGTTGTGCATATCATAAAAGCAATTTCTAGTTGTTTTCGTCATTTTGCAATTGCTTTAGTACACTCAGGCAGATGCTTATGTGCAATTCTCAGCTATATCATACATCAGCGGTTGCTTATGTCATGATGAGCGAAATGCATTGCGCTAGTCCTCTTTTGCATAATCTTACACTCCAGACAAACTCGTCATTTTAGTCATTGTGTAAGTCATTGCAGTCAAAAGTGTTCAACAAGATATCATTGGCTGTCAAGTGTATTTTATAGGTTTCTACAAAACTTTTTTGGTATGTATTCACAATACTAATGATTCCTGCACCACCCTAAATAGGAATATCACTATGTGTGCAGCTATTTTGAACAATGGGGTCCACACTCGTATCCTTTTGGAGCCTTACAACACCAAACATCTGCTTACCTTCTCAAATACCCTCTACAGGGACCTCATTCCTGAAGAGGAGATTGGTCAAGAAAATATACCAAAGTTTGTGATCATTTGTGATGATGTAAGTTTCCATCACTCCAACCCAATCCGGTAATGGTTTACCAACCACCCCATGATGCTAATGGAATTCCTATCACCATATTTCCAATTCCTCAACCCAATTGAGGAGTTCTTCTCAGTGTTGAGGTGGAAGGTATATGACCTTAATCCACATACACAAATGAAACTGCTTGCTGCCATGGAAGCTGTGTGTGGGGATATAAGAACAGACGCCTGCAGAGTCTGGATAAGACATTCTAGGAGGTTCTTTCAGTTTTGCAAAGGAAGATACGTATGCGTTGTGATGTGGATGAGAACATGTGGCCCAGTATACAGGATAGGCTGCAATTGTAGAAAACATTTACAGTTTTAGTATGTATATATTGTTCCCTTCTTGATTTTGTAATTGTTTTTTTTTTCATTTCATATGTTATGCATAAGACATTGAAATGCATATTTTGCTAGACTGCAATTGCAGTGCGCGGTATGTCACCATGTAGGCTACCTGTGCAATCAATAAAATATTTTCTTGAATCACTCTCCCACAATCAGTATATTCCTGCCCTTGTCATTCAGATGTTTTGTGCATCAGAAAATGTTTAGATTGTGCTAATTTTACATTGATAACATGACTTTACATTTTGGCTGTCATGTCTGTGGACGATGATTCATGGACTTGGGATTTTGATGGGACTGACGTCTTCAATGATGTAAATACTTGCTTTTGAGGCTTGGCTAAGGATTTTGAAGAGGTTACCTGCTTTTGCGGGTCATCCATGATGTCTTGCCATTTGCACTTAAGTGTTTTGAGAAATTGCTGTTATGCAAATGTTAAGTCTGTTATGAGAAATGCACCAAAGCAACTCAGAAAAACTAAAAGTTTTCTGCAGTAATGGTAATCTAATAAAGACGAATAGACAACACTTACGGTGGTTTTGCTTATTCTGGCAGTCCAGAATAGCGCCTGTGAGTTCTGTGTTCAGATGTTCGTGCATAGCACTATGCCTGTGTGGTATGCCATCGAACTTTGCTATTATTATTGGGCTATTATTGTAGCAAAATTATTTGCAAATGTGTACGGAGATTTGCGTGACTGTATCTCAGTCCGTGTGTACATAATCTCATTTGTAAATGTGTAATTTGCAAATGTGATCAGGAATTTGTATGTAAATGCGCATTCAGAATCCGTGTGTGTAATCAGATCTGTATGCATAGTGAGATTTGCAAGTGTACTGAGATTTGTACGCGTGTGGACAAATCTGTAAATGTGCACATACGTATTATTAAGCTAATTAAGCTAAAAAAATCGAAGTATTTTGCTCCAAGAGCTGTAAATACAGACAGGGCAGTTACAACACAGTCGGACCTCTCAATTGGCAGTCTTTTTACACATGATTTTTGCTACACTTCTCCCGTGGCAATCGACTACGTCGACTAATCATGGCAGCACTAACGTGAAACTGTTTTTGTTGTCACTACAGCTGCTGTGAGGTGCTCGTTCAGATTCTGCATATAATGTCTTTTTGTGCTAACTGAACAGAATGGATTGGTTTGATTGTTATTGCTGTTGATGGATGTCTGTACAATGACAAAGCAGACCAACACATAGCAGAACACTGTCGTGTTTGTAATACACTGTAACTGCTATTGAGCTATTTTGGATTGTGTGATCCACCCACTTTTATTCTGGCCCTGCTGCAGTTTCATTTCTGGCTACGCCACTGACTAACATGATGAAATCCACCACCCCAGTCACGCCCCATACATCTCCCTTCCCAGCAGAACTCTCTTCCAGTCTGTCTTTTTGCTGATCGCATTCCTAGCTGGGTTATCGAAGTGTCTTTATTATAAAAATGTATAAAAAGCATGACTGTATAAAAATTTCATTCCTTTATCATCCCTTGAGAATTAAGCTAAAATGAGAGATAGAGTAGAGTACTGTATATTAACCCATCCATCCATCACCGTAACCGCTTAATACCAAAAGGGGTCGCGGGGACCGGAGCCTATACCGGGAACAAGGGCCGCAAGCGGGAACCAACCCTGAGCAGTCGCCGACACACTGCAGGGCGCACACACACACTTTACACTCGCCAATCAACCTGCCCTGCACGCTTTCGGACGCTTCCGTCTGAAAACATCCTGTTTGAAGCCTCACAATGGCGAGGTACTGTTGTTCAATTGTTAGGTGTTGTCTTGGTCTCATGATGTCAAAATATGAACAGCATGATGAGGAGAGCTGTTTAAATACCAATTCTGATTGAACCAGGAAATTTATTGGTCGATTCATGGATCAAACATCTGTTGTGAATTTTGCCATTAAGCTCCTTGTTAGATAACAGCAAGTTGTGTAGAAAGTACTGAAACACTGAACAGTTGGACATGTGCATTCAAAAGTTTAGGGAAGGTCACATTAATTTCACATGTAAATGTTATAGTGCATTTTAGGTTAATGCTGAAATTTTACCCGAAAGCCGAATATCCCTAACTTTTTGTGAGTAGTGTATATATCTACATGAAAATCATGTTTTTTATATATATATACTTCTTGACTTTCTTTCATATATAATCAATGAAATAACAATACAGTTTTCTTGAGGGAGCCATTTCATCACATCACGACATGCACTTCCTCTTTCTTGTAAAGTAAACAGAAAAAGGTGGGGAGGGGGTGAGTCTGTCTCAAATCTTTCTTGCGAAAATTTCCTTCAATTCAATTGCACAGGGCCTATTGTGAGGGCGACTAAGCGTGAGTGTGACTCATAATGAAAGTGGAGTTTCAGGGGTTGAGTTTGGGATCAGGCCTTGAGATGCAGAGAGCAAGGGAAGCACTAATTGATTAATGATGATGTAATGGAGAAACATGTTGAAAGCGCTGGAGGGATTATGATGGTGTGACAGTGTCATTGTCACCTGTTCCCCCATTCCTCTGTTATCTCCTGATTAAACTCCACTTGTGCAAGTGTGGTTTCTGGAGCTGCAGTGCCCATCGCTTACTTGACCTTTGCTCAGCACTGGTCCAAACCTAAGCACACTACTGGACCCCCGGACACAGTAGTGTGCTTAGGCCCCCCATTTCCATTGCCCACCACACTCTAACAACCCCCCCCCCCCAAGAAAATAAGGGTACATAAAAATACATAATGTATGTACTATGTTATATTTAATGATTAGGTTGGTTGTTTATGCATCTAAGGCTTAAATAGCTGACAAGCACTGAGGAATAAGTGTACTTTGAATTATACATCTTGCTGTGTGCAAGTTAGACTTAAACCTAGCCTCTGTTCAAAGCAATGTAATTAGAGGCTACCTGTACGATTGATTTGTTACTGGAATTTGTTACTGGGGGGGGGGGGGTTGGTTACTACCTACATAGTCAAAATGTAACATCAACAATAGACAGGAGAAGGGAAGGATGTCTTCCACAGGACAGCAAGATTAATCTAGCCTTTCTTAACAACGGTTCAGGGGATGTAGTAAAAAACGACATCGACGCAGCAGTATTCCAACAACTGCCATTATTCAAGTGTACGGTGGCCACAGTACAGGAGCTGTTAGTTCACGACACCCCATGACAAGTCAAAGTGCAATGTAAAATATCTTTTTCTCAGGAGCAACATAGCAAAGTATATACATTTTTACTTGTTTATTCTTCTTACCTTACTGTGTTTCACTACTGACCACACAAGTGTGAGAATGATAGTTAGCTAGTGTGCAGTTGCCCTCATAATTCATCATGATTCTGACAGTCAATCAATTTAGAAAATTATTACATAACGGATTGTATGAACTTGTCAAATGAGACACAAATATTGATATTGTAACATTGGTTTTTTTTTTATACATACATACAGTGTTTATTCAACAATTTTTGGTGAACAGAAGAAATTCTTTTTCATTTTTTATTGTGTTGCTGTTAATTTGTGTTTTTTTCCTTCTCTGAGCAAATACACACTTATACAGATAAATATCCTTAAATATTTTCATCACAGTTAACAGCAAAACTTAGTAATCATACATATTTATACCAAATTAAATGCAGAATTAACAGAAAGGGTATATATTTAAATTTATTTAAGTATAAGGTGAATTTCAATGCTTTCAAAAATGCTACATGAACAGAGGGCACTGTATTACAAGTAAGGCTGTCACACAATAAATACACGCTACTACTGTTTTAAGTTGGATATCCGATACAAGAGATTGCAAAGTAAACAATGGCGGACCAAGAAGAAAGACTACTAAAGTGTGACGCCCTGTAGGCATTCGCAGGAACTGACATTGTAATTGTGCAGAGCTTTTATTTTCAATACTCTGTTGTAAGTTTTTAATAGGACAAACAGAAGTCTCAAAATAAAGAACAAAATAATTTGTGCTTGTATCTGTGTTGCATTGATCAAATAAAGCAGCTGTAACATAAAAGCGTTTCGCTCCACTTTGTCCACCAACAGTTTTTTTTTTTCTCAGTTTATGATTTGACTCTCAGATCAGAAGGTGAATGTTTAGGAATAATACACTGTCTAAATCTAAGTCATTCTTGGCAAATCTCTAAAAACAGAAGCATGAACACTAGAAGGTCATAAATTTGTGAGGGAAATGAGACGTCATTTTACCAAGTTAAAACAAAGTCCAACCCTTTAACAGAAGAGACAAAACCAAAGTTTTATGTTAAACATACACTCAAATAAACATTTATACTCAATCACTGGGAATACAAGGGATTCCTGAGCAAAATCAGTTGTTCTGCATTAAATTTTCAACCTCAAGTAATAAAAAAAAACTTTCAGACCTACTTTCATCCAGCCATTTCCCCCCCATACAGGTTCACATAAAACCAGGAGATTATCTCAGGTGACATATGGGGACAAGGCAAGGGAACAGCCTGGATGGGATGCCAGACAAGACAAAGGCAAACGCACACACCCATAATGGCAGACTATGGGAAATTATGAGCCACCAGTTTACTTAATGAAGGGAAACTGAAGTACAGTATATGGTAAACCACGCAACATGACAGAAAAACGGAAGGAAGAAACTGCACACACATACCCAGGGTGAGGGAAGCATTTCAACTGTTGACTCTGGAGATGTGAGGCAAAAGTACTAACCAATGTGTCACTGAGCCATTTGTCACACAAGCATATATCAAGATATGTGGTGCTCAAACATAGTTGATAATTTTATTTATGCAGAACAACTTTATACTTTACTGACATGACATCCCATGCAGGGTGCACCCCAGCCTTGTACCTTATGCTGCCTGATATAGGCCCCTGCACCCCCCCTGACATAAGTAGTATGTATGGGTGGATTTTGAATTTAGTTTTAGTTAAGTTGCAAACGAGGAAGTAGATCTTACAGATCAAGAGCAGAAGTCAAACCAAGTATGTAAGTACTGTCTGAAGTTCTGAGGAAATACAGGGGGTGCTGAATATCAATAGAACAAGTCAGCAGGAGTGCATACTGCAAAAGCATCAAGTCACATCTTAGTTGCTGCATAAGGAATCATATTGTCGATCTAGATCACTGGGTCTCAATCCTGTTCCTGGAGGACCCCCCTGCCACAATGTTTTCATTCCAGCCCACACTGCTTTCAACCTGCCACATTCATGTTTAGCCTGTTAAGTACCATCCGAGCCTGATTAAGGTTGGAATGAAAACATTCTGGTAAGGTGGGGCTCCGAGAACAGGACTGAGAACCAGTAATCTCAAAGGGACATGGCGGTGTCACTTGTCCAATCTGGAATACACCATGAAGAAACATATAGGTAGGCTGACTATCATAATGGTATACAGTCATACCCCAGTATCTTAGGGTCCAAGACCCCGCGTGGATCTCGAAATCCACGGATAGCACGAACACCTTATATGACTGTACTATGTGCCTCTTAAGGCCACATGAACACCAGGTATTGTCAATTTTTATCGTTTTCCATCATTTTATGTGGTTTAAATACTTAAAAAAAAAAGCCAAGACATTAAAAATGAGAAAGAGAGAGGAGAGGGGGAAACTGTATGTGTGAAAATGCTGTAAATTACAGGACATCGCGAACAAAGACTTAGGCAGGCCTACGAATGTCGGTTGATGCCTTGTTGTAATCAACTTGAAACTTGGTATGGTGTGGAGTTTAAAAGTCGTTTATGTTTTTTTTTTTTTCCACCACTGTCGACTGTGGTTAAATGGATCAGCGGATAGTGAATCAGCGGATAGCAGGGTACAACTGTAATTTGTTTGATTTGTTTTCATTTAGCAGTTTTTAAAATGTTTTTTGGTTGATGTGAAATAGTTTCTTTCATGTTCTACCTTAAAAACCTGGACTTGCTGGATCCCTTATTACCCAACAGAAAGTCACATATCTCAGCGCTCCGTTTATTTAATTAATCTACAGATTAATTTATGAAATCATGCGACATCTTAATGGGGTTCTGTCCTTCATCATCTAACCAACTACTCACTTAGTAAAAAGCCTACAGAGAAAAAATGTTTAGAAAGGACCATCATATTAGCAACAGCATCTTTAATTTCTCAGGAAACTGAAGAAGGCTTATCGATCACCTGAAATGCTGCCTAACTTCTACTGGTGCACCATCAGAGCATCAAGAGCAGCTGTATGTAGGCGTTGCTTGACAGTTGCTCTCCTTCAGTGCGAAATGCCCAGGAATAGGTAGAGAAGATGGCCAGCACATTGTTGGCACCCAGCTTCTCTCCCCTGAGGACCTCCTGCATTAGTGATGCCTGAAACAGGGCACATAACATCATTGGAGACTCCTCCCACCCAAACCATAGACCGATTGCCCTACTCCCATCCAGAAGGAGGTACGGAAGCCTCCACACCCACACCAACAGGCTGAGGAACAGCTTCTTACCTACAGTTGTTTCCCTGATGAACTCTGAACAGCTAATCTTCACCCACTCCCACCCATAACCATGGCCTGCACACTTCTCCGCTCCACCAACTACATCATATTTATTTAGATACACTGTTCTACATATAAGCGCACCAATGACCCAAAACATTATGACCACCCCCACGTGAAACAAATATTGTTGACTGTCTCGTAGAAACAATGTGTGTCAGTGTCTGGGATATATTAGACCAGTGTTCCCCAGTCAGGTCCTCGGGGACTCACAGGTCCATGTTTTTGCTCTCTCATAACTCTCTGCCTGACAGTCCACATTGCTCCTTCCCAGCTCCCAGCAGAAGCAAAAATGTGGACTGTCTGGCAGAGAGTTAGGAGGGAGCAAAAACGTGGACTGTATGTGGGTTCCTCAGGACCGGGATGGGAAACACTGTATAAGATGATAAGCTACACTGACGAATCCTGGCCACCCAACATCCTGTCCAGGGGCATCAGAAATAGGAAGGAGATGGGGGGGGGGGGGTTGTTTTAGTTGTGAATCTGTACCCTAAACAGTGTTAGTCTTATTTCAAGTGATAAAATCGTGATTATGCAGAAATTATTGTAGAATCTTTCTTACATTGCATCATTTTACAGTGAGACTATTGCATGTTTGTCCATTGCGATGTCACAATATAGACTGTATCCCTCCCACCTCTGGGGCAAATTCAGTACCCCCCAACGTCAAAGTCCCTCCTATGCCACTGATCCTGTCGACGGTTTGTGATTTTTTCCTCCTCGGATCACTCTCGGCAGGGGTGCCCAATCTTATCCGCAAAGGGCCAGTGTGTATGCGGGTTTTTGCCGCAACTCCCTAATTAGATTACTAATTAGAGGACTGATTGGCTAAAGAGTCCTCACACCTGGGTTTGAACAGCTGACCTATAGGTTATCCCAAAAACCTGCATACACAGCGGCCCTGGGCAGATAAGATTGGGCACCCCTGACTCTCAGAATGTGCTCATCACTGCTGACCGTGAGCACCCCACAAGCCTTGTTGCTTCAGAGATGCCTGGGGGGGCAATACTTTACTTAGGGTAATATTTTACTTGAGGAGACATAAATAATGTAGTAGTAAACAGTTCATGTACTTCATGGGGAAACCAATATTAGTTCATGGTTTGTTCTTGAGTAGCAAATGAGTAGCAAATTTTTGCCCCTTCAGGTGGTCTTATAATTAGTAACTAATTAGTTAACTGTTTAACTAATATAGTGCCTGAATGGAGTACATGAACTGTCATGATTGATTAATGATGAATGAATATAGGATCAGTACTTAGACACTTTTTTTATTATTTATGCCCCCTAAGTAAAGTGCCCAATTCCAGACCTCGACAAGCACAGTTTTTACAGGATAGTCAACATTATTTGCTTCAAGTGGGAGTGGTCATGATGTTTAGGCTCGTTGGTGTATTTAGAATCAGATGAAGGTGATTTGTTACCTTGTTTAACTGAGGGATGCTGTCATTCCGACTGCAGAATAAATGACTGTATCGTCATTCTGACTCTCCTGCTCGCTGCTCATAGCAATTCTGCAGAAGTTGGACAGATTTACACATACTGCCTTATAAAAACAGTTCTTGTTATGTTCTAAAATGTAAAATTTCTTTACTATATACAGATTACTGAAATATGAAGTAATATTCATACTTATTTTTTGGGTGCTTGGTTTTAAACTGAACAGAAGCATAACAGACTTCATCCTCCGACATATTAGGCCTTGTAATGTTCCCATACTCAGTATCTTCTGGAAACTTCAGATGGAGACAGTGAGAGAGAAGCAGAAATTATATATATATATTATAGAAATATAATATAATATAATATAATATAATATATTTGTTATACTTTTAAGTATTTCAAATGTTCAAAAATTTGAATAAAAACCCTGGCGTATTTCTGCATGTGATCTGACAATGACTGTGAATGTACTTTGACATGTACTTGACAAAACACTGAAAAAACAGACATTCAGTTTCTTACTGATGTTGGCCCTCCTGTGACGTTCTTCATATTCCATGAATTACTCTTCCTGAGGGAAAAATCAGACTTAATAAATAAAAATAAACCTCAACCTCAGTACTATAATAACCACATTTGTATTTAGACAAATCTCGTGTATACAAAAGGTTTTCACTTCTGAAATGTAAAATTAGTTCTGATGAATCTGTGTTAATTCTGTAGTATATAGAATGACAAGTAACAAGGCAATTTCACACTTACTTCCCTTCTGGTTGCCTAGTAACAGAAGCATAACAGGTGTCCTCCACCTGTGATGAAACTTCCTGTCTCTGGTTCACGAGCTGCAATGTGGTAGCAATGTTTGCATACTCTTCTGTTACTGTATGCTGGAAACAGCAAGAGAAATTAATCAATTGTTGCAAAGGTTTAAATGAATTACCTCGCATTTGCACATACATACTGTATGATCTGGAAAAGTTATAAAGTAAGTTAATTATAGTTTCATATGTATGAAAGAATTATACGCAGTTTCTTACTGATCTTTTCCCGTCTGTGTTCACCTCATTCACTGAATCTGCCTTCCTTCTGAAAAATCAGACACATCATGCAGGCCGTATGTAACAATGCACAATCTCTCCCACAACATTATGATTATACTGTATTGGAGCTTAACATTTGTAAAATCACAAATTATATTGTATGAAATGAAGCACTGAACACTCACCTCACTATGTAAAGGATAATTATAAGCAATACAATTAAAACAGCCAATACTGTGCATAGAATAACCAGATTTGACATATCTGAAAAAAGGAAAAAAAAATTAAAATTGCAAACAAATTCATTCATTCATTTCCCATAACAAATGATTCACTTCTTAGTGGCAGTGAGAATGGAGACCACACAGCACCTGGTACCGAGCAGTGGATTCCAGTGCCATTCAAGGCAGACACTCACAGTCCCATAAGAGATGCAATAGTGTCATCAATTCTTTCATGAGGCATCTGGAGAATCTTTGTCTATTTGATAATTATCAGAATTCTAAATATTAGCTTGCGGTCACTGACAAGTATAAGCAGTTGGAAAGTGAATAAATGGATGCTTGTGTGTGCGTGGAGTTCGAATGGCTAATGGAAAATCCCCACAGTGTACAATAGTGTGCAAGTGCCCTGTAATAGCCAGGCTTCCAAGTGCCCTGTAATGGCCAGGCTTCCATGTGCCCTGTAATGGCCAGGCTTCCAAGTGCCCTGTAATGGCCAGGCTTCCAAGTGCCCTGTAATGGCCAGGCTTCCAAGTGCCCTGTAATGGCCAGGCTTCCTGTTAATGGTGTTTTC